ACGAATCCCGTCGACCTGCGGTCTCGAACGAAATGAAAAGTAGGTCTGTATCAATTCATGTAGTCTGACTAACCTTTCAGTCGGGAATTTATGCTGTTCGAAAACATGATACTTGCTGTTTCATCCTATCGCACTTAACAACACCAATTTAAGGCTGCTACCAAAAAGCTCATAATTGATAGATACAACTATATTGTAATTAAATGTTTGCATCTTCTTCATCTATCTATGCATATGTGCAATTAGTTTGACTTTGTTTCCTTGACTTCACCCTGCCTCATCGCAGTCATGCCTTCCTCCTGTATCTCAAAGTTGTTGAGATTACTTCCATTTCTAGTGAAAGTGTCGGGTGAAGAGATTCGAAGGTCGGCTCCACCAGAAGACGACGGTGGAGGATTCATGTTGACGCTGTTTCCGAGGCAGTCTTCTTCGATTCCGGTGAAAAGGGGCTAAGCTCTCGTCCGTCATGTGACGGAGATCATCGTCACAACAAACTTCAAACTAACGAATTAAGAAAACTCACCGGCAAATCCCTAAAAAGTGGTATATATACTCTACATTTGTTTTCTCGACTCGTTAGATTCAATTTTGTTGTGACGATGTTACGTCGCTCTGATGACGTCCGCCACATGACGGACAAAACTTAGCCCCTTTTCATCGGAAACGAAGAAGACTGCCTCGGAAACAGCGTCAACATGAATCTTCCAGCTGGTCAAGAGGGATCCACCGTCGTCTTCTGGTGAAGCCGACCTTCGAATCTATTCACCCAACACCTTCACTCGAAATGGAAGGAAACTCAACAATTATCAAACAAGAGATTCCTCGAAACCCAACTTTTCTTGGCCTATCTCAAAGTTGACCAGGTGCCTTACCAGACGTCTCGCCAGCATCATACGTGAGCATCACCAGCCTCAGCACCACGTTGAGGGGGTCGTCGAACATGATGTCGAGACTTCTGGCATTTTACCGGAACAACTAAACGATACTGAAAGAAGATATGACAACACTTTTAAGGATAAAATAGCTTTCGATACCATCAGCAATTCTTGACTAACAATTTAGTCAGTCTAGGTTGGTTGAAGCGGTTCAAGCTTTTGCAAATCATCTCATCAGACAATCAGTCGTTAAATCACTTTTAACGAGCCAGACTAAGTTATTCTACATAACACGGGTCAATTCTTCGAGGTCTGCCTTTGAAGCGAATTAAGGTGAAAAAGAAAAGTCGAATCAAATATACACTCTGATTAATTTAAGCACCTATGACAAAAATATGTATTATACTACTTGTGTACATTTAGGAAATAACTTTAAATACGCCGCCAGATTCCAGATTTTTTACACATGCATAAATATAGGCCCAGAATGTACGAGCTTTATGGGCAACCTTTTTGACGTGGGTAGGAGAGTGGAGATCGCGATCAAATCAAAGGTCATGCCATCTTGATCTGCATTACATAAAACATTATTGTTCTACCACGAGAAAGACATGAATCTCGCCCAACTTAGATACAGATTCGATATTGAATTTCCACTTTTACAGCCTAAATTATGCTGGTTTTTAGCCCTCGTCTAAGGCGTGCATCAATAAAATCTCAATCAGAATGATGCTACGGGATAGCATTGCTGCTTCGTTTTGTGCATGGAATGCCTGTTTTAATGGACAAGTAAACCTAATTTATGAGATTCATTAATACAATCTTGGCTACTTGTAAATCTGTCTTGTTGTTCGTGAAACAGCTACCGACTTTCGGCGTGACATTGCAACTTTTGGCCAAATTTCCAGTTGGACGTGGAGCCCGAGCATTGCGAGTCCTTTAAACTTCAACCTCTTTGCAGATAATTTTGCAAGAGTGACTGGAGCCAGCCAATTGGTGTCGAAAGTTGGCGATACTTTATCGAAATCATTTGTGCTATTGGCTAGCTTTCACGAACAAACACCGACTGCAACCAACTTCACCTGAATCTACAGACTCCCTACTCTGTGGACCAGTTGCCTCGACTACCACTTCATGTTATTTGTTATGAAGTTGTGCTTGCTTCTCTTAAAACCATGTTTTTCGACTCCAACCTTTGTCTGTATTCAAGCATGTTCCTCAATCTTCTCCCCTCTCGCCCATTTGCACAAAACTTTCCCAGCCTCTTTCAATCACTCTTTCTCGCGTAACCCAGTCAATTTCGCTTGTTCCTCCTCTCAATAATCTCATCATTTGGACTGTCTGTTTTAATTTGTCCAATGGGCCAGAAGGCCTTAACTCCAAGCAGACAATGAACCGGTGTTGCCCGGTTGCGGTGGAGATGTTGTTTTTCAACATGGAAACCCATTTCAACGACATCCTTACTTTGCCCGTCAACGCGGACATCAATCTTCTGTCGCATAGAAGATGCATCAATCGACAGTTGCTAGATCCAGGCTCAACTCCAACTCTGATTGTCTTCACGTGTCGTCCTCACCGACAGCAAAGGGCTGTCTCAGGCGGGGTTCGAGCTGTGCGATCGTGAAATAGCGAATGCAAAATTGCGCCTTTTCCGCATTCCAGACACACACTTCGTCACACGACGGGCAGAGAGCTTGATTCAAAATCTGGGGATTTAATTTTTGTATTAAATTAGAGTTTCGAGACTACCAGTATATCAGTAGTATGAGATGTATTCACCCAATTTCGTTTAAGAGGATGAAGGACTGGTAGAAGAAGAATTCTACCACAATGATATGAGTTGAGCTGACGTTTCCATTGAATTTCACATAACCTTGATTTCCGAAAAGTTGTTCTCATCCTTAAACGAAATTAGGTGAATACATTTTATATTGAGAATTTACTCTATTTTTCGAATTGAGTATTGTTTTAGTGACTACCAGTAAATCAGTAATATGAGATGTA